GACTTCATGTGTCTGAATCATCCGCCGATACCCTGAACAACCAACTTACCGAGCTTCACCCGAAGTACCAGGCGATCGCCAAGTTGCGTGATTCCGAGTTAGCAAGGTTAGCATCGACGGCCAGAAAAGAGGTCAAGGGACGCGGGATAGAATTGATCCAAGGGGCTATCCGCTTCATCCACACTAAGAAATCTATGTCAGATCTAGAATCTGACATCAAAGAGCACGAGAGCAACCTGATCTTGTTGGATCAGATCCATGACAAAGATTTCTCCGAAGCGCAAGAAAGATCAGAATTGACCGCTAATTTAACTGAAAAACGGAGTCGCTTGGCAGCTCTTCCCGCTTTAACCTTCAACCCACAGCACTTCGAGGAATTTTTTACTGAATCACCTCCCCCAAGTGAATCGGGTCTAGAATGGGCAGGTAATCTCCAGCTCTTGATACTTACTATTTCTTTCTTGCCCTATCATATATATATTTCTTTGTTGACTGGAACTATCCTTCCTAGGCTCAAGTGAGGGGGAAGATGCCGCCCCTCCCGAAGTTCTAGCCACACCGGAGGTCACCCCGACGGATGGTTGTACCGTGGAAAGCAGACCAGGAGCTTCGCCTGACCAGGCACCAGCCAAGGAGGTGGATGAAACTTTGATAGTTGAGACGGATTCCGAGGTGGACGTTAACCCGTAGTGGCTGTGTCCACTTTAAATTGGGGATTGTCCCTTTTATTTCAAAACTTAATTTCGAACTTGTTTTTGCCTAAGGAGGCTTTATCATTTCTTTTGAACAAGATATTTGCCTGAGGAGGCTTTTAAACCTTTCTAGATTATGACCCCAAGGGGGTTTGGTTAAAATTATGTGCGGGTTTGCAAAGTCCGCTTTTAACCTTTTGTGGCCTTGTGGTTATGCTTTCGAGATTTTTAGACTGATCAAACCTTTCTCTTTAGAATGCGAGAACTGAGCTCGGCTTAACGCGAGTTCCCCACTTCGGGTTTAGTCAACTCGGCAAATTTATTGGGCTTGGGCCTTAGAAACTTTCGTAGTTAATACGACGGTTGCTCTTTCCCTTCTTATTTCTTGAAAGTAGGAAAAGCGGCTCGTCTTTAATGCAATAACTGCCTTTTCTCGATTTTCCAAAAATGGTTTAAGTTACTTGGGCACGCCATTATTAATGATTTTTCGATTCCAAGACAAACCCTATTCCTATTATAAATAGGAGATTGTTTGCCTTTAATCTTTTCTCAAGAAACTTCATAATTCATTCAACAAGCACCACATCAATGGAGAACGAAAACGTAGTCCCCGTTGATCCCGGCAGCCCGCTTTTTCTGTCCGGCGATGGCTTTGAACTAGCCGGCGTTCTTTTCCCTCACGCCGTCTTTCACTTTCCTTCGAAGGAGAAGAAAGAGGCTTGCGACTTTATCGACAAGGTTAATATCCGTCGTCCTTGATTAGAAACTTTCTCTTTCATTTTATTTACTCAACTTTATGCTAGGTCACCGACAAACACCGTCGCTTGTGTGAGGAGAGGCAGCGGCTAGGTCTCAAAAGGCAGACACTCGAGGCTCGTATCACTCGGGTGGAGAGGAAGATAAGGGCTCTGGAAAGTGATCCCTTTCAATGGGAATGGCGGAACTTCGATTCTGTTGCTGAGATTCCGAAAATTCTTCGGATGTATCTCCGTGCTAAAGGAGTTCCGGGTCCCGTGAATGCCCCGGTCTTTGCCGTTCCATCTGATAGCGAGGAAGAAGACGAGGAGGAGGCCAGTACCAGTCGGAAACGCGTTCGGGATCGTCCCGAAGTAGATGCCAAGAACAAGGCGTCCACTTCGAAAACTAAACCGGCGATGAAGGAGCCTGTTCCTGAGCCTCTTCCATAAATGTTCTCTAACTTCTTTACTTATTTTGAACTCGTAATGGGCTTCGGCCCCCTTTTTTATTTATGGAAACATTTGCAATTTTCCTTATTCTTCAAATATTCTCGGAGATGCGTCTTTCAACGCAGGATCGGTTTAAGGGCATAAATCTCTTCGCGAATCATTCCATTACTAGGATAGAATCCGCAGCTTACTAGGAATATGATATTCCTATAAATTATAGTCTCAACTTCTCTTTTCTCCTTACCACTCTTTTTCGTTTTAGCAGGTATGGAGTTCAACCTTCGATGTTCAGAATCTATGCCCGACTTCTCCAGGATCAGAATGATAAACGAAGATGCCCGAAATGAGCCAAATAGGCGGCCTCTTCCACCTCGCGGTTTCTTAAGATCCCAGATCCGAGCTCCATGTGCTTTGATCAGGGATCTCCCAATCAGAGACCAAGGAACAGCGATGGCGTTCATAGAGGCAATTGCGCTTCAACATCGGAAGCTTACGTTGAAAAAGAGGAGACTCCGGAAGAACATTAACCGGATGCAACGCAGGCTTACTACGGTTTAAAGAGATCTTCACGTCCTTGAATCTCACCCTGGAGAATGGGTCGAGCTTGGAATCTCTGACTTCGCTCGAATTCCGGACTGCATGATGCCAATCCTCGACCTTGCTGGTCAAGGAATTGAAGTGTTCTGCTCGTCAACAAGATCTCCATAACCCAAAGTGTTCGATGAGGGACATTCCATCTTTTTTTGTGTTTGAATAAACGCTCTATTTCCAATTCCTTGTATGTTCGCATAGCCGAACCTTTATTTGCTTCATTTGTTCGCACAGTCGAACCTTTCCCTTTAATACAGAAATGAAACAAATTTTTATTAATAGCTGAACTCGTTTCCGAGCTGCCTACGTACCCATTTCGGGATCAAGCCACACCGTAGTTCATGTACATATAAAATGCATGTAGCTTTAAACATAAAACTTCTTTAGGTTGATCACATTCCAAGGTCGCTTGACTGGCCTGTCTTCTAAGTCTTTCAATCTGTAAACACCGTTCCGAACCACTTCGGTAACAATGTAAGGTCCTTCCCAATTAATACCAAGTTTACCGGCACCTTCTTCTTTTTTATTGTCAAAGACGCGCCTTAACACATAATCTCCCACGAAGAACGGCCTACTTTTGACTTTAGAGTTGTAATATCGGGCTGCTGCCTGCTGGTAGTTCTGAATCCGAATCAAAGCTTGATCACGCCTTTCATTTATGGTATCAAGTGAATCATTAAGCATTGCTGAATTTTCTTCCTCATTTAATGGTGCTTCTGTTCGGCGAAGTCCGGGCACGTTGAGTTCAGCTGGTACTACTGCCTCCATGCCATAAACCAAAGAGAATGGAGTTTCTCCGGTAGGTCGCCTAAGGGTTATACGATAGGCCCATAGGACGGGTTGGAGTTCTTCATACCATCCTCCCTTTAGATGATTCAAACGTTTCTTGAGATTGCTCAATATCGTCTTGTTCGCGGCTTTCATAGACAGTACCATTCACCCTCTTCTTTCATCTATAATAAATGACCAACGGTTTTTTGTAAATTTCCACTTCCCACATACCAGTGGAATTTCCACCATCTTTCACCAAATGAAACAGCAATACATCTGTAATAAACAACTCTTTTTTACTAAAATGTTTGCTTCGGGGGGAACAAGACAGGTTTTCGACGTAATAAATGGTTAATGTAGGGTAAACAAGACTTTCGCTTTTGTTAATGTTCGCCCTCTTTAACACTGATCGCTAACAATCTCTTACAACTCTATCACCACATACGTCCAAAAAAAACGCCCAAACGTGCTAGTTCAGTAAACCGTTACTCTGCCACGTTATGACAGAGTTATGAAATAACTCTGTCAAAATAATTAACTCTACCATGTTGTAACAGACTTATTACGGTTTCTCAGTCACATAACTTTAAATCGCTCTTTTAGTCTACCACTATTACATAAAACTCTCCCTCACAAATATATTATTTTACAATGTCACATAACTCTACCACCACATAAAATTAAATCTATCACGGTGTTATATGAGTAAACGTAAAGTCATCGTAATCTGTCAGATGACTCTATGAAACAAATAACTCTGCTACCACGAAATATATCTCTATCCTTAAACTCTATCAATTATTAACTCTATGCAATTAAACTAACTTTAAACTATAGTTATTTTATTTCTATCGATTAAATCTAATAATTTATTTAACTCTGCCATCACTACAGCGACAGACTTTTGTCGGCGCGGGACATTTTCGCGGGTAAAATACACCTTCTCTCACTGACGTGGCAGCATCTTTTAATGGCAGATTCGTAATTACGTTTCGCACACAACATCAAATGAGGGGCAATTCTGCCTTTAACGAGCAACAAATCGTACGACACATATCAGTAAAACGCACTTTTTTTGCTTTTTGAGTAACTCACCCATAAAGTAATCTTATTATTCAACAAATAATCCACTTTCATTAAATGTAAAATCATTTATTTTTAATTACATATTTTTTTTCTTTGGTCAAATAATTAAACGTTACAAGTTACCTACTTACAAATTATACTGAAAACTATATATGTTCCTTTAATTTCCTTCAAATATATATACTGGAAAATAGTAAAATATTAACAAATAACGATAAAATAATATTTACGGTTATTATGAAACCCAATTTAGTTGAACTAAAATATATAATTGAGAAATGTCTTTGCTCAATCGCTACCTTTTCTTTAGTTTCTTATGGAAATGCTTATAGCTAAAGATCAATCTTAAAACGTTTTTTGGTAGGATAAGCATTTCATAAGATTATTCTAAATTGTCTAATAAACCCAATTTAGTTGATCCATATATTGACTCCTAATTACATAGGTGACAAGTACACGGTACACATGTATATATACAAATCCTATAGTCATTTTTTTTATAGAAACTGAAATTGTTTCACAAAAACATGATTGATGGATTTATTTTAAACAATATATTTCAATAAAATATATTGAGTTAATTAGACAATACAAATGGAGGACAAGCACATAGGTCTCTTAATTAAAGAGTTAAACAACATCAAAAGAAGCAATCAAACAACAAAAATGCACCTGGTCTGTAACCAAAGATATACATTTCATTTCTTATACATATGACAATTTAGACAAGAAGTTTTATTCCAAGAATATGATGGCTGATATACGAAACTATAATTTTTTTGAAAGTCAGTTCATCATTATATGTTTGTTAGTATATTGGAGGAGGGGGAGAGCTATAACTATAGCTTGGAGATAGCGGGGGGCTGTAGACGTATGGTGGTGGAGAACTGTAGATGTAAGGTGGAGACTTGTAAATATATGGAGATGGTGGTGGACTGTAGGCATAAGGTGGTGGTGAACTATAGACGTAAGGTGGGGACTTGTAAACATATGGAGACGGTGGTGGACTGTAGGAGTATGGTGGTGGACTGTAGGCATATGGTGGTGGAGAAGTATAGACGTAAGGTGGGGACTTGTAAACATATGGAGACGGTGGTGGACTGTAAGAGTATGGTGGTGGACTGTAGGCATATGGTGGTGGAGAACTATAGACGTAAGGTGGGGACTTGTAAACATATGGAGACGGTGGTGGACTGTAGGAGTATGGTGGTGGACTGTATGCATATGGTGGTGGAGAACTATAGACGTAAGGTGGGGACTTGTAAACATATGGAGACGGTGGTGGACTGTAGGAGTATGGTGGTGGACTGTAAGCATATGGTGGTGGAGAACTATAGACGTAAGGTGGGGACTTGTAAACATATGAAGACGGTGGTGGACTGTAGGAGTATGGTGGTGGACTGTAAGCATATGGTGGTGGAGAACTATAGACGTAAGGTGGGGACTTGTAAACATATGGAGACGGTGGTGGACAGTAGGAGTATGGTGGTGGACTGTAGGCATATGGTGGTGGAGTACTATAGACGTAAGGTGGGGACTTGTAAACATATGGAGACGGTGGTGGACTGTAGGAGTATGGTGGTGGACTATAGGCATATGGTGGTGGAGAACTATAGACGTAAGGTGGAGACTTGTAAACATAAGGAGATGGTGGTGGACTGTAGGCATATGGTGGTGGAGAACTATAGACGTAGGGTGGAGATTTGTAAACATATGGGGATGGTGGTGGACTGTAGGCGTATGGTGGTGGAGAACTATAGACGTAAGGGGGAGATTTGTAAACATATGGAGATGGTGGTGGACTGTAGGAGTATGGTGGTGGACTGTAGACGTAAGGTGGAGATTTGTAAACATATGGAGATGGTGGTGGACTGTAGGCGTATGGTGGCGGAGAACTATAAACGTAAGGTGGAGACTTGTAAACATATGGTGATGGTGGTGGTGGACTGTAGGCGTATGGTGGTGGAGAACTGTAGACATACGGTGGGGGTGATGGTGGAGAGTATGTGTATTGAGCACTTGTATGCGCAGCAACGGCATACAAGGCCAAGACCAACATAAGAAGAGATGGCCAATTACTAGATTTGGCCATATCGATTGAATTTGTGTGCTCTTGTTTTTAGACTCAGCTGTTGTTAGTATGTTTCTTACTTAAAACCCAATTTATTTTTGAATGGATTGTAATAATAGGAACCAGTTTATATAGCGCACATAAGGACAACTAGAATACTTGTTTATTGAACTTTATGGAAGCGTCTTAGAGCAATATTGGTATATTGTTTAATAAGTCAAATTAACTAGTTTCTGAATTTGTCTATAAATCTGAAGAAAAAGTCGAGAAGAATATGTCTTTGGTAAGTACCTCTAACCATACTTTAAAATTAAATATGCTAACTTTGAAGTTGTCAATTTAAATTCAAGCCATTTGAGAGTGTTTCTTTTCTGAATTCTCTATCACTGAATTTGTACACTCTAGTTCTATATTACATCTTGTAATTTTAAATACAGATGCTATCATGACACATAATTTTGGGCTTTTCTTTTGAGTTAATTTTTCCAAATTGTAATAACTTTGACATTTTATTTTGTAATGTGTATAATACAACTACCGATTTTCAATTTTTTTTTTAAATATTACCTTTCACTAACCATTTGATTTGTTTTTGTCATATTATCTTCGTATTTCAGCCATCTTTTGGTCGTCGTCTATTATATGGACCTTTTCTTTTTTGTTATCAATGTTAAGATATGGACATTTTCTTATTCTATCGTTCTACTGTAATTACCGATTACATTTTCGTTGAATAAATTTTATATTTTAACAAAAAAGAAATATACTAACGATTTTTGTGAAAGCAATACTAATTGCATTCATACATGATCATGTCGATAAATTTTTTTATTGTGGTGGTCAGTCATGCTCGACTGCCACATCAGGGAACAAACAAAGCTTGATTCATGCACGTCTAGTGAAGGATCCATCCCTTTAACTATTTATTGGATGCCACATTTCTGTTAAAGAATACGGTTTAAAAAGTCGATAGGAGGACAAAAAAGGATATGTTCTCCCAAACAATTCGCAGCTCAAGTTATAATGGAACAATGAGTTAACAAAATATGGTTTAACGTTAGGAGGAATGGTGCCATGGTGGTACCGTTGTGTGCTATGTTTTAAAATTATTTAAGAGATGGATCACCTTCCGGGGTTTAGTTGCAATGCTCATGGAAGGAATAATGAAGAGCACGTGATTGGGCAATCGCTAGGCACTTATATGTTACTGAGGTGATCAATGGATCGTAAGATTATGCCTACTGATCCTCCTTAATTTAACCTTATATACTCTTTTCTTTTCTTTGACGGGAAAAAAAAAAAAGAAATACTCTTTTCTTTTCATTTAGCTTTCCTTCGACTTTAGTGGTGAAAAGAGTATTTATAGAAGACTAGTACCTAACTCGGTTCAAGAATGTCTTTGTCAAATGGGTTATTCAGTCACTAAAAAGAGAACCAAGCCAAGCCAAGTTCTTCCTTAAATGGGCTTAGGTGATGGGCCAATTCGGATTACAAAAAAAAAGAGATGAACCGTCGGATTTTAATCTCATTGGCCTCTTTTGCTCATATCATTCTTTCAAAAATCCCTACTTATTCTCACTACCCCTTTCTCCTTCCCAATATATTTGAAAACCAACTTTACCCTTCTCCTTTATCTTATTTATTTATATATTTATTTTTTTACTAATAAATTATTAAAAGCAACCAATCATATTCATTCTCTCTCCTCTCTCATTAACCACAAAATCCTACCCAAAAACCTCAAAAAAACGCATTCATTCTCTTCTTCTAAAGATTTTGAGAGAGATTTCGGATCTTCATTCTCTTCTCTCTTCTTTTTCTTCGTCATCCACCATTTAAGCTTACCATTAAATCTCCAAAGACATATCTCGGATCCACATATCTACTCCTTTCTTCTTCTTCTTCTTCTTCGCCATCCACCATTAAAGCTCTTTAAGGTATTTAAGATAAGTATACTTGTTTACTTCTTCTTCTCCATAAACCATACTTGTTTTTTTAGTTTAGTAAGGTCTGACGGTGGTAACTATGATTGAGAAAGGTTGAATTCGTAGCTTGAATGCGGTTTTTTATAGAAATATTTGAGGATTGCAGATTTGGGACAACTGAAACCATTGCGTACAACTAAGTAGAATATTTACGTAACCCTAAATTTGGTGCAACCGAGACAAATGGATATAACTATGTTGATGGACTGTGGTGGTGGTGTCCTTGCTATGTACGTAGGTGAACCATCACAACAATATCCGGTGGTGGTGGAGATTGAAGAAAGAGATGTAGAAAAAAATGCGTGTAGACCTATTTTATGGGACGATGAGCTTGATATTACAGTAGCCCAAGAATTTTGAAGCAAAGAAGCAATACAATGTTTAGTTGAAAAGGCTTGACATAAAAATGTCTTTGAGTTTGTTGTAAATAAATCGGAACCGTTGAGATTTGTGGTGGCATGTTCAGAAGCACATAATGGGTCCGATTGATATCTACGATTTGCAAGGCGTGAAACGTCTAAGCCTTTTTCTATACGAACTAATAGAAGGTTAATTTCTTTGTCGTATCTGTACAAATTAATTTGTTTTGTCTTGGTACAACCAAGTACAACTAAGTTCTATTGCTTTGGCTAGTTTTTAGAATTTTATTAAATATGAAAATTTAAAACCAAATTAAAAAAAAAAAAACTTAAAAATTGCATACACAATGGTAATGAAACTACACAACAAGTTTTTGAAAAAAAATATCATATTTTCTAAATTAATAAAATTGTTACCACAAAATCTCACATTCATACACTAACAACCTTATACTTTCATGGTTACTTTGTAGATTTGAACTAAAATTTTATAAATTTTTGAAATCCTTGTATTTTGATAAATATAAATGCACATATACAAAGTAATGGTATTTTTATGAGGCAATACCATCGGTTCCACCAACAAAAATTAAATTAGAGTTGATAACAACTAAATTTACTAAAATCTCTATATTGTACAACTATGATCAAAAATGTGCAACCGAGTGCAACTGTACAACTATGAACAAATTTGTGCTATTATTTAATTTTTTTTTTCAAAATAACGGCGCCAGGTATGCGATTTGTCAGAATTTTTTAGATATTTAGATATTTCCAGATATTTTCAGATCTTTCACTGTTTTTTTTTTGTTTTTTTCCAAAGCCCTTAGAAACCTACATATTTGTCAGATTTTTTGATTGATTTAGATTTTTTTTTTTGGTTCAAAACGCTTAGATTATATTCAATACATAGATTCATACATAAAAATTTAAGATTCAGATTCAAAGATTCATACATAATCAAAAAAACATAAACCCATAAACATAGTTGTACCTAATTGTACCAGTTGTACCTAAACACTTAAATTTATACATCAACATCAGAGACCAGAATACAAGCGGAACTCATCATCAGAGACCAAAATAGGAGCCGAACTCTTCTCTTGCTCCATCTGCTTCGCCTGCTCTTGCTCCATCTCCTTCTCTTTTTCCTTCTCCTTCTCCTTCTTCAATATCAAACATTCAAAAGCAATCTTAAATTCTACCTAAATGATACGGATGGTTTTTTGTCACTATGAAACTCTCATTGTCTAAACCAAGACAATAAACGAGCAATCCAAACACAAACTCACATAATCTCATTATCAATCTACATAATTATAAGAGATAAAGTTTGGGTTTTCAACAAATTTCAAATCCAAAACACATTTAAACACATTTTGAATCGGAATCCTTTTGAATCTATATAAAGTAATTCAAATCCGAAAATAGAGAGAAATTCAAATCGAAAATTGGGACAAATTCAATCCGAAAATTACAACAAATTCAAATCCGAAAAATCATCCGTTTCACAAACAAAACCCAACAAAATCCATCGAAATCAAACAAAAGAAAGAATGAGAATGAAGAATTTATAGCTTACAAGAAAGGAGACGGAGGAACGTGGATTTGGATTGGATTTCTAACAAAGAATTTCCAACGAGAAGAAGAATGAGAGTTTCGATTCGGAGAGAAGAGGGAAGAAAAGAAGGTTTGCCGGCGACGAGAGAAGAACGACGGAGAGATAAACGGCGATTCATCGTTTTTTTTTAGAGAAAAGGGGAAAAAATTTAGAGTTAGGGATTTGATTTTGGGACTTTACGATTTTGAGATTTTTGGGGTTAAATGATCCAAAATCCGACCCAATGTATGTGGATCTAGATCCAAATTGAGGTTGGGTCAGTAAATAAGTTGAAAACCCAAGTTTTATTTGTCTTTACTCTTTTTCAGAATTAAAATAATCAATTTAACACAAGTTTTTTATTTCGGGGGCTAACTAGAGAATGATTCGAGGGGAGGGGGCCGATGAGATTAAAATCCTGAACCATCCGAATAAGGCTAAACAGAGAAGAGATCAGAGTCTGGCCAGGAACGAAACAACGGGTCTCCCATTGCAAATTTTGGCAGTTACGAGAAACTCACTTTGCAACTACATTCTCGACATTAGCTCTTTGACCAGGGTAACTAGTTCCAGCCGTCCAAGTCAACTTCAACAAACTTGATCCTCACGAGCTTCTCCCAGAAGGGGTTGACCACTAGAAACTGAATCCCCCAACCTTCTAATCCACACCTAGCAAATAGAATGAACACAAAAACATCAACTCTAACCTCCGCCTTCCCTTAGATGTCGCAAAACCACGTCCTGAAGACCTAACCAGCTTCTATTCAGTTTGGCGGAAATCAATTCAAACCCCCATGCACCGGCCCTAACCCAAAGTCATCCATCTTAGATCCCGCCGTGAACCGCTCTAGACTCGCAGAGAACTGATATAAGACTCGGTTAAGAGACTTATAAGAGCGCAAGAACTGACTCGAGTGGTGGACTCGACCGGCTAACTCGACGTGAGGTCGAGCTTAATGTTTTGAGGTGTGGACGAGTGAATACGAGGCGGATCGATGGGAAACTTAAGCTGGCTGTAGCGCACTCTCTTAAGTTTCAGTGGGTGAGTTTATACGACAAGACTCAAAGGGATGAGGCCTGAAGTCGATGCGGAATCAAACAAGCTGGCTGTGACGCTCTCTCTTGTGAGATCAAAAGGATGGATGTGAAGTGGAT